GCAGCTCCTTGGTGGACTTGACCATCCCACACTCAGTGACCCACATTCAGAATAGCGCCTTTGTAAATTGCAGCTCCTTGGTGGACTTGACCATCCCAGACTCTGTGACCCACATTGGGGATGGCGCCTTTGCAAATTGCAGCTCCTTGGTGGACTTGACCATCCCAGACTCTGTGACCCAGATTGGGGGCTTTGCTTTTGAGCATTGTAGCTCTTTGGTGAGCTTGACCATCCCGAACTCAGTGACCCACATCGGGAATCATATGTTTCAGAATTGCAGCTCCTTGTCAAACTTGACAATCCCAGAGTCAGTGATCCACATTGGAAGATTGGCCTTTGCCTGTTGTAGCTCTTTGGTGAACTTGGCTATCCCAAATTCAGTGATCCACATCGGGGTTGGTGCCTTTCAGCACTGCAGCTCTTTGAAGAGCTTAAGCATCACAAGCTCAGTGACTCAACTAGAGGACGGCGTTTTCGCCGATTGCAGCTCTCTGACGGAGTTCACTATCCCAGACTCCGTGACGCAGATTGGGAATGGTGCCTTTGCGAATTGCAGCTCCTTGGTGAACGTGACCGTGCCAGACTCTGTGACGCATATTGGCAGAGGTGCCTTTCGGAAGTGCCGTTCTTTGCTAGTGCTGGTGTCCATGGATCACATCCGGTCGGGTGGCGATGCCTTTCAGGGATGCAAAGGAGTTGTGGCCAAAGAGTGTGTCTCTTGAACTTGAAATGCATGGGAGGCCTTCCCCTTCCGCACAACCCACCTGAAGAGGTTCTTCCCAAAAGGTTCGACTTTTTATAGCTCTGGGGTTTGGACCGAACCAATGTGTAGCAGTTTGAAGGTCCCATGTAGCCTCTGGCTTGGACCAATGAAGTCAGGCACAGCTGGTCTGAAAACAAAGGGCTGCACGGGGGACGGAGAACGGCACGACACCAATGGGGCTGCTATGATGGGCCATGATGGTTCGCACTGTCCTCCTGGAAAAAGGCCTCCCTGGGTTTGCAAGGAACGCAGAACCAGAAAAAACCCATCGGTTGGGGACCTCCCTATTGTATTAAAATACATGCCGTACATATCCATATATTATATTGGGTTTGTCCTATTACCTGTAACAGTCAGTGAACAATTATCACTATTCTTGAACAAGGCCTTAACTAACCATCATCATCCACTGTTACAGGTCATAGGACAGGCCCAATCCATATACAGTAAGAGGTCTCAAATTGGTGACCTGTGAAGTTGGATGCGTATGAGGCACAGATGAGGCCAGGGAGCCATACCTGTCCAGGGCCACTTCCAGGCTTTGGAGCCACCGATGGAAGTCGAGTGAGGCACCTGTCCACGCATACGCATGACGCACGCACGTGAGCCGGGATGGCGGATCTTGCAAAGACTGGAGCCAGTGGCTCAGGTGTAGCCCAGTGGCTCAGGTGTAGCCCACTCCTTCGATCACCCGTGGCAGGGCCGTGCCCCGATCACCAACGCCCGCACCAACTTCCGCCGCCCCCCCGGATTCAGGACGGAGCTTTTGGAACGCTTTTAACAGTAGTTGTTCGATGTTCTCCCTAGACTTCCAAGACCATTCACAAATGGTTGAACTGGTTTTTGTAGTGTAAAATCCTTAGTTGGTTCAGGATTCAGCCTATTAATGTCATAGTGGTTGGAAGTCCAGGGTTCTGTTCTCTCCTCTTTGCATCCTCTCGGCCGATGGGGTGCGATGCACACGCCACGCGCCGCGTCGGCCCGGTCGAGGTTCGATCTCTACTTCCAGGCGACGGAGTGCGGATGCCACAGAGGAGGGAGGATGGCCAGGTCGGTTTTGATCGGTAGAGGTAGAGGGTGGAGGATTGATCAAGGGACAGATGATTGGATGATTGGGCACTGTCCACGATTCCCAAAGAAAGGTTTTATTCGGGGTATGGTGAGGTTTAGGCTGACAGGCACCAGTTTGACATTGGTATTGCGCTATCTATATATAAACATCCCTGTCAGGATGTTTGGCATGTTATATAAAAGTGAGCCGTGGGTTGGTCGAAGATATGCCACAGAAGATGGACAAACAAAGCTAACGAATCAACCTTCAGGTGACAGCAATTCCAAAAACCAAGCTCCGCGCTTCCGATCCTCTTCAAGATCTTCAAGAACACCAAGGGCGTTCTTTCCCCCTTCTTCCTTGGTCAAAGACCGCGCCCAACACAAACTGATCACCTTCAGAACTCAGTGGTCCACGGCACCGGCAAGACGGAATCTGTCTCCAGCCACCACCCTCAACAGGGATCTGGATCAGCATGGACTCATTGGATCAGAACAGATCCTAAGCCACCCCGTTCTTCCGATTCTTCCTGTAAGTCTCAACAGGGATCTCATTGGATCAGCATGGCTGAAGGATCCAGGATTCGTGGCCCACCATTGGTGCACTGAACGTAGCCATGACACAATTAAATCGAATACCTTGGGAACAATCTTCTACCAAAAGCACATGGCTTTATTTTGAAATCGACGTCTGTGCTGGCATTGTACGAACATCGGTTCCAAAGAATTCATTATATAGCATTATAACCGTTATTATAACTTATAACATAATTTGGCAAGATGCTGAAGAAGGTTTGTTAAAATAGATTCAGCTTTGATGCAATGGTTTTGAACCTTAGAACTCATTGACTTTATTTTCATTATCTTCGATGTGCCTTCAATCTCCATGATGTATATACTGTGCTTCCTTCTTTTTTGGTGTGTCTGTGGTTTGGAGAGGCCTTCGTTAAAAGGAGGGTTCACTGGAATTAAAGTAGCCAACCCAAAGCAAAGCCACTAAAGGCCCATACCACCTTTTACATCATTTGAGCAGATTTCATTCTAAAAACTTCATGGCTGGGCTACATGGCCCTTGGGGGGGCTGCTTTGGTGCCATGCAGTAATTAGACAAAGTGGGGCCAACGTCCAACATAAGCATATAACAAGCATTTGCTTGAGGTTGAGCATTTTGCTTCCTTACGTAGCCTCCTTTTTTCAACGTTTGACAATAATCCATTCTAAGTACGTTGGGTACCCCCTGAATTATTTTGTTTTGGAGGGTGCGCCCCGGCCCCTCGCGGCACCCAACGGCTATACTGAACTGGGCTGTACCGAAGAACCCATGTGACTGTGATTTTGCTCAGATTTTGGAGCCAGACCAGGTCAACCGAACTGGTTTGGAATGGTTTTTGAAGGCCAGGAACCTGAAGAGAACCGGTCAACCGTGTGGCGTCACGGCGCTCAGCCCTACGGGGGCACTGGGTGAAGGTGTCCGACGGTGTGGAGCCACCCAGCCAGAAACACCTCAGGTACAGGCTGCTAGTGGCGGAGCAGGGCAGCATGTGGGATGCCCCAGTGCTTCGGTGGAGGCGACCCAAGGCTCAGCTGCTTGGTGTGAGCCACGTGCGGCGTGGCTGAACTGCACCCCGCACGAGGTAGGTAGGTAGGTAGGTAGGTAGGGATCTTCTGAATCTATCAGGACCGGACTGGAAGGGGTGTCTATTAATAACCCCTTAGCTGTTAAGGGGTGTCCATCAACCACCCCTTGGGGGTGCTGGTAGCTGGGCACCCAGTACATTGGCCCCCAAACCACCCCAATGTAGGCATATATGGCATACATGGAGCGTCTGGGGTATGCTGCCAGTATATCAAGATCTCCTATCCGTTGATGTCCGGTGGCAGGCTGTAGCTCACATCGTGCGCACCCAATTCCTGGAGATTTTGGGGCGAATAGAAGATTTTGGGCCCGGAACATGTACTACCCCACCTGGAGAGAAAGGCATTCTTGAAATGGAAAATTACTACCTGCTGGTTAGGTTCTGGCGCCATGCGCCATTTCTATCAGGTGCTTTTGTTGCTGCTCCGATGTCCCTCGCCTTCAAGGGCCCTTTAAACAGTCGTTGACCGGGCTTTTAGCGCAAAATCCTCATAATGGCTGCTCGGTAAAAAGCATCAATCAATGGCGGTTGGAATCGCAGGGACGTCTCTTGATCGTCCACCTTTTGATCGCCTGGAGCCTGTTTCAGCTTTCCACCCCCGTTCCCACCCAGGCTCCACGTGCGCGTGAACAACGCGCGGAACCTGCCGAACACCGACACGGGCGTCGGGAGACCCGTACCACACGCGTTCCGGCGGAAGTCGATGGACTTTGCGGGCCAAGCGATTGGCACAGCCAGTGAGCTGAAGGAGGGTGAAGGCTCATGCGGATTTGCTGAGGTGAAGATCTGCCCGGGTGTCATCTAAGTTCTAGATTCTAGATCCTTTGCTCAGGTCTTGGGAGATGTGCCAGGGGCCCCCAGCCGGAGTGGTTGACAGTTCAAGGGTTGGGTATGTTGGGTTCGGGTTGGTAGCATCTGGACACGGGTGAAACCATGGTGAAACCATGCTTGGGACGTCCAGATTCCGGGAGTCGGTTGGGAGTCTAACCTTTCTTTGCCATATCTAGTCGTCCTCCCTTTGATCAAGCTCTTGACCGACTGGTGGCTCTGCGTTCATTTTGTACCATTGACAGCTTGGAGATGCTTTTAGCCAGCATGTCATGACTGACTTGGATTTGGGGCATGCAGAAATGCTGGTTCTCAACCACACCTCAGTCACTGTGACCACCAATCTTCGCCGCCCGCAGCAATTTTGAAACACGCGCCAAGTGAACGCCGTGTTTTAGGACAGAGACTTTCCCCGGCTTCACCCGAAGCCGAATTTGCAATGGTGTCCTTTTCGAAGCCACAGGCAGGGCGAGCGGAGCGTCGGCGACGCATGCAACGCATGGGTGCCTTGGCTGAGGAGAGAGAGGACTGCACGGTGACACCTGAAGACCATTAGATAGGATGTCTTCATCCACGTGCGAGGGGGGTCAATTTCAATCAGGGATGTTTCTCATGTTTGAAGTGCTGATGCATAATCACAATTGTGGAAGCTGCAGAGGACGAGGAATTCAGGAATGCAGAGGTCACTCATACTCCCAAGACTGTTTTGGTATGCATGTGAGGGTATGGTATGCATCATGACATCCCTCAGGTCACCCTGAGGGGTGGGGATCCACGGCATTTTTGTGTTGAGTATTGGATTACCTAGCACCGATCCTCATAGATCATATATGATCATGCAAGGCCGGCCCCCTCCCAAGACTGCCGCCCCGAGTCACTCGCACCTTCACTATACTCTCCAACCCCTCACCGGGTCCGTTCGGCATACTCTCCAACCCCTCACCGGGTCCGTTCGGCGACGGTCCCGGGAAGTCGCGAGCGATGTCACCCAGGTCTGGCGGCTGTCGCAACGTCCGCCCTGGCGCCTGTCTGTTTGGACCGCCCCTTTGTCATTGGCACTGGACAGGTGGCGCGCGCGAAGCCTTATGAGGCGCCCACCGCGTCGGTGCTGACTGAGACGGTGCAAGAAGAACGCAGCGGAGCGAGGACGGACGCGGTGGGCGACGGACGGAGCACAGTGGCACAACTCGGGTGACGTAAAAACCTCCCCAAAACGTGGATGGTAGGAAGACCTTTTCATGGGGCAATATTCCATCAAGCGTCTTATACATTACTTATGGTTTTTGAAGGATCTCTGATAAAACGAGGGTTGGAAGAGCTGACGCTGATGCTTTTCCAGTGGTCAGTGGTTGTTTGAAGGTCGGGTTTGAGTTTGTGCACCCCCAAATGGATCATCACCCCTACCTTGGCAATGCTGTGCATCTAGGCTGTGACATTGCTGTCCGTCCTGAATTAGGTCTGAATCTTGGAGATTCCTGATTCTATTCATGTCAAATGTCATTTCCCGGGTCAAACTTGCTTTGCTCACCCTGCAGCTTTTGCTACTATAAGTGGAGTTTTCCTCTTTTTCCTCTGGTGCAAACTCACTTGAGAACGTTAAACCGCCCTCTTCCAAAGCGAAAAAGATCAGGAGTTGTGGTTAGTCAAGCGGTTTACCATGGTCGCCACCAGTCACAGGAACATCAGAACACTGGCACCAGGTGTGGAGAAAGAATCACTGGCTTCCAGTAGCGTATCTCACAGCACTCCGATGAGTTGACCAATATGATTGTTTGTTACAAGCAGCCTTCGTCCAACTCGCTGGCTGCGAGCACGCTGCACAGAGCGAAGTGCTGCACGCGCAAGTGCAGAGCACGCTGGCTGCGCTTCTAGAGGTCTAAGTATCTTATCGGATCAACATATCGCAAGCTAGGGGAGGCACCCGGGAAAAGGGTCAGAAAGGCGGTGTCCTGACCCCGGAAAGCCTAGGCCTAGGACCCCCCCCTTGTTTCCGACGGAGGGATGGAACGGGCCAGACCTCTTCGTGCTGTGACTCGCCATGGCAAGCAAAATCTCGGTGCTCCAGCCAAGTGGTGAACTCCTTGTTCTGGAAGTGACCCAGGAGACAACAGGCCGACAGCTGCAGCAACAGATCAAGGAGAGCCAACACTGGGATGAGCTTACTCGCAGGACGACGGGTGTGGAGATCCTCCTGGGCACTAAGTTGCTGGCCCGTGAAGAGAAAGTGTTGGATGCAGGAATTGCTGAAGATGCTCTTGCGAGTGTAGTCTTCAAACCAAATGTGGTGATATGCGGCAACCAAGATGAGCTCCACAGCTTTGGCGATGTCACTGACATGGAGCTGCTACTAGTGGTCGAAATCCCTAGTGATCAAACTCAAATTCTGGAAAGGGCCTTTGCGAATTGCCACTCCTTGGGCAGGTTGACCATCCCGCACTCAGTGACCTACATTGGAGAATGTGCCTTTTCAAATTGCACCTCTTTGGCGCGCTTGACCATTCCGGACTCAGTGACTCAGATTGGGGAGGGTGCCTTTGCAGGTTGCCACGCGCTGACCAATTTGACCATCCCAGTGTCCTACATTGGAAATGAGGCCTTTCAGAGTTGCAGCTCTTTGGCGAACTTGACCATCCTGGACTCAGT